CACCAAAAACCCAAGCCCCCACTGTTTTCCTTATTTATTTAGAAACCAATTCCCGTGCTATGTATCTCTTAGAAAATCTCAGTATGTTGCTAGTATGCCCAGAAATGTTTGTGGTGGGCTTGCATTGAAATACTCTGAAACTCTTTTCTCCTTAAATTTCCATTCTGAAAAGGCTCATTGCTGACGGATTGAAGTGAGCTGGACTATAATGCTAGTGTCATGAAAAGCTGGAAGGCTTTAAATCTTTCAGTTCCCCTGACCTTTTTGTGTTTTGAAATGCTTGATGAACTCCAGAAGAGTAAAATACAGCAAAGAAGAAGTGCATGGTCAGAGTGTTTGTGGAATTCAAAGAATAGCTGTCAGAGATGGAGGCTCTGAAATTCAGAGCCAATTTACATGTCAGAGGCTTTTCAAATTACCAGCAGCTGTCTTCACTAACTGATATTTCCTTACTCTAAACTTTCAGAGGTGAGCTTAATTAACTTTTATCTTAAAGATGTTCCTGGACTTACACCTTCTTCCTATTCTGAAAGGCAAATTAGGAGTGATTTCTGAAAGATAAATGTCTATGTTTCAATTATGTCAGTGGGATGAGGAGTGATAGTTAACTAACAGCATGCACCTTTTCTCTTTCCATCATTGCCTGAAATACTGAGACATTTCTGTTACTGAAAAAAAGTTATGTAACAGATTAGTGTGCAGCTCTTAAATTTATTTTATCTTATACTTAGAGAGCCATCAAAAGCCTGTACCTTTAGTGTCCAGGTGCTCAAAACACTCTTCATGCATGCAGCAGTAAAAAGTACCATACACCTTTTCATAGAAGAAGTTCAGCAGTTTATTTCAAGTTCTCCATACAATATGGCAAAAGTTGTCTTTATTAAGGTGTTCCCGAGTATGTCTTTGACACTTTAGTGACTTACTGCTAATGACAGACTGAAAAATTTCCTCCTTATAAAAAGGGAAGAAAATTGATCTCAGTTGCCTTGTGTCCTGTCTTTCTCATATGCAAAAGTGAAAATAAATACATTTCTGAAAAAGTTGTACTTGTTTGTCTGGAATGGAAAAATTAGCTAAAGCAGTTAAAGCTAGGCAGAATCATAAAATATGGTTTTATGATGGAAAGTGCTGGCCAACTTTATAAGCATATAAGTACAACTGTTTTTGAAGATAATGCCTGTGACATCTTATTTCTTTTGCCTGATGGCCCCTTGCATTTTTTTTTCCTTTCCATTCCTTTTCTTTCTATTAGACTACAGGTAGGAGACGCATTTGTAGATGGGCAGAATGTTTCTATTCTGTGATACCACATCACCCTGACATTAACACAAAAGATAACTGAAAAACCTTTTAGTTGAGTGTCTCTTCAAAATACCATTTAATAGCCTGGGAACTTATTTCCCTTCAACATAAGGTGGCAAAATATCCATTGAAATGAAGAATAAACCCTTAAAGCTTATCAAGATAGGCCTTTGAAGGAGGGCAGTCATGCTTTCTTCTAGGACTGCATCAACTTTTCACACAAGTTGTATGCAATACGGGCATCTCACAAAGACAGGAGAGTGTTATGTTTTGATACAGATACATTAATAAAAAATGCTGACTTGAAAGCACCTCTTGTTTCACCTCTTGTTACTCTTCATGCTGTCTCCATAAACTGTACTTTGAAGTTTTCAGATTGCATGCTCAGTAGAAGTTTTCATAGCTTTAAAACAGACAACCAATTTCAGCCGTTAGTTTAATCACATTTGTTTGTTAGTTAGTTCAGAAATTAGTGTAATGATTAATCAGAAGGCTTTTCTAATTTTAACTGCACAATTTGGAGTCTGATCCAAACTGTAGACCTCAAGCAAAAATCTTGGGACGGGGAAAATTAAAAGCAGTGTAGAAAAAACCCTAAGTTTTTGTATGCAAATATTTTAGAAAGTCTTCCCTTTCACAGCACAGTTGAAATATTACTTAAACGACCCATAAAAGATAATATTAAACTAAACTGAGTCAAATGTATGATTAATTCATGCAGTGGGAAACATTGTAAGAAGTGCAATTTTATACATATGACCTTGAAATTAATAAAATAACTTTTAATTTTATAATATCTATGATAAACATAGAATTCAAGTAACAATAATCTTGGCAGAGAAGCAAGGGTCTAATGTAAAAATCTGTTTACAAAATAGATTTATAACATTACTGGGCTTAAAAGATGATAAAAAGAAGGATTTTCCAATATCTGAGGACTAGTGAAATATTCAGCAAAATTGATTTAACTTGCATATTGTAAAACTGTCCGAATATTTAATTGTCTCTGGAATATACTTTTTTTTTTTCTATGAGAAATTTACATGAAATTTCTTACTGTGCTTTAATTCAGTAAGTATGTGTCATGAAACTTCCATACAAGTCTTTTGAAGCCTTGGCTACTTCTTACTGAAGTTCATCTACCACTGAAGCTACTTCCATTTCATTTGGAATTTAGGCTACAATTTCATGTTGCTGTTAATCCCATGTTGCTGTGCCTTGCTGCTGGCAGGTGCAGTCACACTGTAACCCCCCACATCCACCACGTCTCCTCTGTTTCCCCTCACAAACGTTACATGACTCTAGGATGACTGGGGTGTGATTGGTGAGCCCATGGAAAACTAACCCTTTTGACATTGTTTGGTGGATGTAGCTAACAAAGTAGCAGGTATTGCAACTGGGAACCATGGTGAAACTTGAGCTCTTTCTTCCTTCTTCAGGCAGTTTCCCTCCTCCAGTTATGGTTTCTATCTGTCGCATTTCTCTACTGAAAAACCTTCCTCTCATCACTGCTTCCCAAACTTGGTACCCAGGAGGGGTTTCTTGCCAATGCAGTTTATCTCTGGGAGTTTGCATCTCAGCCACCAGGCAGGCAGTGATTTATTAATAAATTATAGGCACCAAGGTGATGTGTGTGTGTATTTCTACATTTCTAGAGTATGGCATCCGTGCTTTGATGTTTGAGTGATTAATGCCTCTAAACTTATATGTGGCACCTAACAAAATCATAATGAGAAAAAGGGAAGTTTGGGAACCATGTGTCTTGTAAATAATTCTTAAGACAGGCATTCTCCTATAAATATTAGTACATTTTAAAAAGACGCTACCTCAAACAAATGCAGAGCTAGAGCTTTATTTGAAAATACTTGAAAATGAAGTAGGGTTTTTTTTAAAAACTTGTTTTCATATGGGATTCCTGAATTATTTAGTTCAGTCTTTTTCAAAATAATTCTGTAATACAATAAGAAATTGGTTTATCAATCAGAGTTAAATAGGCTTACTTCAAATGAAAAAAATTAGGCTTGAAAATTTGGCTTCATATGAGAAATAAAAAAAAAAAAAAATCCTGATCAAGTTTGGCAACTAAATGATGAATTGTGAAGAGATTAACAGGAAAATAATTGAGATATACATATAATTGTGAAATCTTGATCTGGCTTTAGGATATATCAGCATCCAACTTGTCACTTTGATTTTTGTGACTAAAGATTACATTTTCTTCATAGATTTTACCTTATATATGATACTTATCTGATAATCTGAGTGATATCCTTTGAAATTCTAACAGGTTAGCACTGATCACTTATATTGCTTATTTTTTTATTTCCTCTCTTTTTATTCTAGTCCTTTTTTTGTTGTTCTTGTTTTACATTAATGCATTCCAAACAAGTTATCTTAGTGTTCTCACTAGATGTCTCAAAAGGTTAAGGGAAAAAAGTTGCACTAATAACAAGAAAATAAGGGCCAACTCTACCCAAAACAAGCTGTACCAAGAGAAAGCAACTGTGATTCTTGCCTGTAATATAGGTATCAACTTTAATTCAAAAACACCTATGTTCTCCAGATGTCTGTGTAGGCAGTCTGTCAACCACCACCAGCAGAAGAGTGCATATGTACAAAACTGACCTCACTTAGCCTCCTCTGAAGTGCTTGCCATGTTGTTATCTATCTTTTGCCTTGACTTTTTACACTTCTTTCTTTGTGGCTACCCAAGCCTTCCATTATCTTTCCATCTCTGTCTCATCAACTGCCCACCTCTTTACCTGTCTGGTCTGAAACTCTGTGTCTCCTCTCCACAGCAGCTCTTAAAGATCCCTGTCTGCTCCTTGTTGCTTATGTCACATTTCTGTAGTGGAGCTGCTTAACTGCATAAAAATGAGGGCAAACCTTACTGGTAGAAAATACCCTGTCAAACGTACATTGCAGGCAAAAATCAGGGACAGCTTTCCTACCACAGTGGCCATTTGGGTGATCACTGTCACCTTGTAGAGAGCGTGGATCAGGGCTAGGCAAGGCATCCCACTGTGGCTTCACATAGTGTGGAAGGGGATGAGCAACCACCCTTTTGTGTTTTCCTTCAGCAGCTTTTTTAAGATTATACCCTTGCAGCCCAACTCTGCTTCCAGGCATGAGGTATACCTCTGATGTAGAGGGTGCTTCACCTGTTTTTTCTGCTCCCTGAAAGGCTTTCAGGGTTGGCCTAAGGCTGTGAGCATACCTGGCATATAATCAGTTTTAGGCTTGCCTCTAAACAGCAGTGTGGACATTGATGCATCTCATCTTCATGGAAAAGTGTCATACACATTATGCCTGCTGGAGGTTGTATGGAGATCTACACGCTAGCAACATGAGTGGTTGTGGAAGAATGCAGAACAAAAATTCTGTCTATAATGCAAGATTTGGTTCAAAATCAAGAACTGGTATCAAAAACTTCTTCCTGTTGCAGTGGATTATGTATCATCATTGTATGTCTTTTTAACAAACTGTGCATGTTTCCGGTATTTAAAAAGCCTACCATGAAGACTTTAATGTGAAGATGATAATGATGTTAAAATGTGTTTGGAGGAATATTGTAACATGGATAAAAATTACTACAACATTGTGGATAGTTGTACTTTTAGCACCTGAGGATGAGCAAAGTCAAAGTCTTTAATCCCAACAGTCTGTGCTTACTTGAAAAAATGTTTGTCTGACTGCAGGCATGGAACCCGTTGTGCTGGAGAAGTGGCAGCCACGGCAAACAACTCACACTGCACAGTAGGAATCGCCTTTAATGCAAAGATTGGAGGTATGTAAAACAATCTCCCACCAAAAAAAAAAAGGTAACCAAAGAGCCATTTCTGCTAAATACTATATTGAGACCTTTCTCAACAAGAGAAGGAGATTTGTAAGGACAACAAACCTAGCTGTGCTAGCAGGTGAATCTCAGTTGTAGAATGGTCATTAAATACCAGTAGGATTTTGTCCGCAGTGAAACTTCTCCAGTGCTCCTTGGAACACTGCGTCTCAGTACACACAGAAAATAGAAAGTGAGACTTTTGATGAAAACACAAAAGCCAGAATCAGGACATTAGGTTTTTTTCACAGATTCAGAGCTCTAAGTGATGAACTTTGACAAACCAGAAGTAAATATACACATCAGGAATATTGCCTGCATATTGGTCCTGTCAAAACATAACACATTTGTGTTGATTGGCTGTGGTTGGAGAGAATCTTCTTTTGATTGCTCTGTGTGATCAGATTATTGCCTGAAATATGAGATTCCATCACACTTCTTTGTTCATTCAGCCAAGAGGTTCCGAGTGGTTTCCTTGAATTCTTAGTCTATGCCTGCTCAATTAATACCTTTGGCTTAATTTGACTATCAGAATGTCATTTATGTTTCTCCTAGGCTGTAGCCTGCCTGTGGCAAATTTTAATCCTTCAAGTGAAATTTTACCCTGTAGTTTTGATGAAATCATGGCATTAGTATATTGGCTTTCAGTAGAAAGACCAATAGCTCCAACTCCATAATTGTTGATTTTCTGTCCCAGAATTAGAGCCCATCTGTGAGAACAAAACCATACTTACCTATATACACACCAAAGGACTGTTCAAAAATATGAGCAGGCAGAATTGATGCCATGTTTCCATAATTAATAGTACTGTCTATGTTCTCTACTGGATCGGTACAAGTTTGATCCAAATCAAATGTGAGCACAGCTGCGTTTCAAATTAGCCAAAGCACACAACATCTCCCTAATGTCAGCTTTCTGTTTTGTTGCTGGCTTTAAGAGGATAAACAATACCTAATTCAGCATAAGGTTAGAGCGATGCAGAAAAACAGTTTCCCTTCAGGTGGAGAGCCTGACTGCACAAAGTTACCCTGCCAGAGTGGTTTAGAAAATCTGAACTGGTCAAGTGAGTGAGTTTGTGGCAGATGAACAGGTTGTCTCATGTGGACATGTCATTTGGTTGTGTACCAGCAGCTCTGAAATCTGATTTACTATGTTGCCAAATCAGAGACAGAGGGGAGTTAGTGCACTGACAGAGATAAAAGATGGCTTCTGGAGAAGTTTCATTTCTGAGTTAGATAGTCACACAACCTGCAACAGTTTGGGCATGTCCTTGAAAAGTTCTCCATTAGTAACAGTGGCTTCTTAAGAGGTTACTCTTTATTAGGAATGTGAAATAATGTTTTAGAAACTCTTCTGGCATATTAGGTGAATCACAGCCTTTTCTAAATTTATTGTAAAAATTGATTCAGATGGACATAGTATGAATGCAGTTAATGTGAACAGATATGTGTGTCTTTTTATCATGTATTTATTTATTTATTTATTTATTATTTAGTACAAAGAATATAACAACCTTCAAGAAATTTCACTGGTGTAAGTGAAATAAAAAGTGTATCCAATCCGTTTGTCACCATGATTCCGTAGAGTCATCACTAACACTGGTCTTAAAAGAAAGCTGAAAAATAAAAACAGTGTGAAAACCTCACTTGAAGTAGTTAAGCACCCTTTAAAATCATCAGCACTTGAAAATAAGGCTTCAGGAGGCTCAGCAGATAATCTGCAGAAAATCAGAGGCAAGAGGGAATTCGAGGGTATTGGGAATGGAGGTTAATCTTACTTTTGCACTAGGTGTATATATTTAAGAGTTTTGCTGCTGCTAACCTCTGTTTGGCATGCTTCCCTCCCTTTCCTCAGAAATGGCATAAACTACACCTGTGAATATGCAATGGTTGTGTTCCCTCTCCAGGTAGAGTGTAAAAATGTTGAATCATATTATGCTGAACTAGTGTTCAGCTCACTTGTTTCTCAGGGATTTATAGATCTTCTTGGGGCATTCTTGGAGAAGAAACTAGAGTTGAGGTAAAGCAATTACATTCCCCTTTCATAGAGGAGCACCTGCTGACAGTGATGTTGAATTTGCTCCACCAAGATAAGTATTCTTTACTTCAAACCAGGAAACATCTCTGGACACATAAGGGATAGTAAGAGATAAAGCAAAGGGGAAAGGAAATACTTTTCATCAATATTCCATCAAATACTGGAAGCTGAACAAATCCAATTAATGATTTTTGAGATGGGAAGTCATTAACAAGATGTGGTTTACTCCTTGTCTCCTTTCCACACATTTAAGAACCTCTGACCACATATAGGTCAAAAATAAGATCCTTAGAAAATCAGATCCTTCTGTTACAATGCTGTAAGTAGGGATGTAATCTGCAGATAAGAAAATTTGAGAAAAACTGAAATCTGAAGCTTCAATTCTTTTATATGTTGTAAGATGTTTCTTACAAAAAAATATGCACTATGTCTCCCATTTGTGCTTAGCTAAGCTACTCTACAGGCCCTTTCACTTAAAGGCAAACCAAGTGCACCTAAGGGGTAGATATTTTAATGTGACTCTCAGCAGTAATCACACATACCAAATTACCACCTATAGAGTTTGTCAGACTTTTTATAGGAAGGGATGGTTAGCCTGCTGTTACTGTTGCAGACTGATTGGGGAAGTTGCAAAGCATCTGTGGGGATTTCAGTGCTTAGTTACTTGGCTGGGCTCGAGTCCCGGTGGGAAAACAGTACATGAATTATGGCACAACAGATGTAGATTGTCTTCAGCTGATGAGGAATTAGTTCAGCTGTTTCATTAAGTCAGATACTGATTAAAACCAAACATTTTAAAAGAAAACTTGCTTTCAGCTCAGCTTTGCGTGTTTCCTGTGATTCATGGAAAGTTTGTTCTGATTAAAATGCCACTTGCATTTTGTCAATTACTGCAAATATTGGAAGTAGTTTACAGATTCCCTATAGTCTTAGGTGGAACAGTCCACAAATGCAGTGTATTAATTGCCTTCTGGATAGCTTTTGTTATGCTATCATCACATGACAAATGCAGTTTGGAGGTTTTGTGATCGGCAGAATTAACTACTTCAGACATTTGAGGGGAGGGAGGGGAGTGTGGAGAAAGGAATTATTTTTGTTTTCAATAGCCAATGAGATGTCTGTTGTTCAAAGTCACCCTTGAAGCATCTCTGTCAGTTGTTGGCCAGAGTGAGCAACACCTAAGTCACGGTCTAGTCCATGTTGCTTTAGATTTGACCACTTTAGCATTAGCAAAAAAACCTGGTGTGAATTACTTCAGGTGCCAATTGTAGAATTTGAAGTTATTGATCACTTGGTGCATGTAGTATTATTTAGGCTTGCTATACAGTAAAAAAGACATAAAGGGAAGCTTTATTTTTCTTCTTTCAAAAGCTGTGTACCTTTTATTGCCTTTATTTAGAACTAAATGTATTTTAATGTCCTTGAAAGAAATTGAGAACACAACTTTCACCCATCATTAATTTTCTGAGATTATGCTGAGGAAGAAAAATGAAACTTGAGAATCCCAGAGTTGGTTTAATGACTTTTTTTATAAAGTTCACAGTGAGATCACTGTTTGTAAAAGTTTATTATCTCAGGAAACATGAGCAGCATTTGTGTGAACTTAGAAATATGATAACTTTTCATTTTTGAGTCAATTAGAGTAAGTTAAAAAAAAGGGCCTCTGTCAACAAAGCACCCCCTTATGCCTTTTGTAAGTTGGAAGTTAAGGTCTTCATAAACACTCAGGTAACTTCAGTCTGAGATCATGAGCAAAATGAAATGTGTCTGTGATTAAAAATATGTGATTAAAAATATGTAAATTTGGCTTATAAATAGCAGTGACTTTTTAAAGGGGAAAGAATGTCAAACTTGTTAACTGTGGAAGTAATCATTACTTTGTGCTATCATACAGTTACATGATAATTATTATTTAATATTTAATACCCCTTTGACCAGATGTCATGCTAGCTGTATGTAGGACCTTCTTGTTAGGTTAAAACTGACATTGATGGTCTTCTCAGTCAGAATTAACTTCAGTCAAAGTCTTACAGTTAGTGAAAAGAACAACTTTTAAGATTTTCCCAGTTTCCACATATAAGCCTACCTTATTTAGTCTAGTCATCTTAAAACGTGTTGCCATTGACTTGTCCAAACCCACGTGAATGGATTCTTTTAACACAAGAATTTCAGATTATACCTCACAAAAGCTTCTTTTCCACGGGGGAGGGTTTTCACAATACTGCAGTTTCAGGTTCAGTAATGTTACATATAGGATAGTTTTTATTAACTTCATGTAATCACCTTGCTACTGTGTATTGTAATCGGTCTGTAGACATGAGGTTTCTCTCCAGTTTCTTCTTTGCAGCCTCATACAATGAAGCAATAATCCCATGTTTATCTGCCAGAAGATCCTTTTATTACATCTGTTAACATACTTTAGGACTGTGATTCCTGCTGCAGTTTCACTGTGGTATAAAGGCAGAAAGAAAATCATTTATTATCTTCAAGTGAGATGCACAAACATTTGAAGGTTTAGGTTGGGTTTTTTTTAAGTTTTCTTTAGCGTAAAAGTTTGTTGAAGTTCGAAGGCTGTATAGTGGATAAAGGCCTTGCAGACAATTTTGAAAGTTCTTCAAGACCAAAATATTCCTTGATTTTTGTATTTTTTTTTTATCTAGAGACTTTTTCCATTGAAAAAACACATATCTAAAGAGGTTTCGGGAGGGTTTTAACAACAGCAGAAATACTTATGATCATTCAATCGGATGTCCTACACAACAATTTTCTCTAGGGGGGAAAAAAAAAAAAAAAAAGCATTTTGATTTTTTGGTACTGTTCATTGTATCTTTCATTCTGAAGGTGTACGGATGCTGGATGGAGATGTGACAGACATGGTAGAAGCAAAGTCTCTAAGCCTTAATCCTCAGCACATCCACATCTACAGTGCCAGCTGGGGGCCTGATGACGACGGTAAGACTGTGGATGGACCTGCTTCTCTAGCACGTCAGGCCTTTGAGAACGGCATCAGAATGGTAGGTTGGCATCAGAGTGCATCTCCTGGATCTACTCTCGTGTGCAAGTGTAAGGGTACATGTGTCTGTTATGTGCAAGTGCAGAGCGTGGGGAAGACAAAAGGATTCTGATGGAAAGTAGAAAAGCTTCCTTTGCATAAAACTGAAAATGCATTTTCCTTATATAGAGATCTGATGGTCAATCCTTCCTGAAACATCAGCTCTGTTAATTTCTAACTGGAATACATCATCCTCAATGTCCTTTAAAATGCTCTTGAGGTAATGATGTAATTCTGAGAGAAGAAATAAGACTAAAAATTCTACTTTGCACAGCAGTGCCAAGTCCTCAAATCTGAATTGCAATGAAATTTTAAAGCAAAAGCCATGACTGTTTTTTCTTCTTTCTTCTTTTCTTTCATTGCTTTGTTTTGCTTGATTTCTTTATGGAAGTTTGATGCTTTTTATAGTGGGGTTGGGGCTAAAAAAAGGCTACACATGTTTCTGTTAGCATTTGGGTCTGGTCTTGGAGAACTTACACCCTATTTATAACTTACATATATGTTTCTCTACAAGTCGGTGCTACTTTGTGATATAGCCCAGAGATCTTCAATAATACAACACACAAAATCCAAAACACCCCTATATGAAAAAATCCAAGACCTTTTCAATTTTCTTTAATAAGTTACTGTCGAATAAGTAAGACCACAGAAAGAAACGAATAGTTAGAGGAACTTTTGATGTCAGAGACTAGTTTTTAGTTATCCTTTTTACCTTCCTGCCTGTTAAATAAATCAGGGAATTCCTCATCTTCCAGCTCTCACACCTCCTTCCACTATATAGGACTGGTGGAAAGGATTTTAAAGCTTTGCACTTGAAGGTTTATTTTGAATTATTAAGCATTATTTTGAATGCAGCAGGAGACTTGCTAATTCAGTGGTGGGTGGCTCTAGGATCAGAAAAGGGAGGATTAATACAGCACATTTGTTTAAAGAGACTGAAACTGTTGGACCAAAGTGGAACTGGGATGTAGTTACTGGAACATGGTAACACTGTGCATCAAGATTGGAAAGTGCAGCTATTATAGTGTTTTGATCAGGTATGCCAAGACTGATTTTAGCAAACTAACTAACATTCAGCCTGAAAGATTTGTGCCATCTGTAAAAGACAGTGTCTGCCACTGAGAGACTATATTACTTTAAGGTATACAATAAAAAGCAGTCATAACAAAAAACAGGGACAATGGGTGAAGAGAGGTAATAGACAAAGTTACACGAGTCAGGCTGACAGTTTGTATGCACAATAGTGTTTCAGGTGATTTACAGTATATTTGACTGCAAGTTGTAAATAAATACATCATAAAATTGATACCCAGTATGACCATAAATATTGCTTAGCACCACAAACCTAGGAGGTGTGAATTCACATCTAATCACAGCTGCATCCCTTGCTTAATTCAGTTTCCTCGATAAAATTACATAGATTTCTTACTCTCACCCCTTTCTTCCCTGCCCTAAACGTGGATAATAATACATGCTTAACTACCTAGCAGGCAAGTTATGAAGAGCAATTACTGAAATACTAAACTAATGACAAGGACTGTGTGCTTTCTTTGCTATATGATGTTTAAGATGTGTCTCAAACTCAGTTCTGTGAATGCATTGCTAATCATGCAGCCACAGACTACTGCCTTTGTTTCAGTTGGTCATATGATGACCATTTGGTGTGAAGCTGCAGATTTACACTTCGTCTTGTTGTACATTATGTAATATGTGACGCCTAACATGACAAAATACTCAAGCATGTACTTAAATTTACCCTGTGAGAAATTCCAGGAACTTAGCAGTTAAACACATTTAGGAATGCTGGTAGATTATACCCCAGAGAATTCTTCTGTATTTAGTAATCATTATTATAATAGTTATTTAAGTGCTTTTAGAACAATATAACAAGTATGTGGAAGGTCATATGCATGTTCATTACTGCTTCCCATGCATCATCACTCTTCCTTTGGATGGAATATCAGTGATTCCCATCACCCACCTAGAGTTTGCTATTCTTTGACAGTGACGACAGAAGAAAAACAATAAGGTGATGAAGTGGACCCTAATAGCACTTCAGGATGCAGGAGAACTTGAACAAAATAAGTTTTCTGTTTAAACATATATATGTGTTAGTTTAAATGTCATATTTCTGGTACGTAAGACACTCACAAAAAGTTCAGCCCAAATTTCTGTACCAGAAGAACTCAGCAATTTCCTCAGACTGGGGATAAATCTAGTATAAATCAGTGTGGAATAATTTTTCAAGAGTGCGAATCTTGCCTACAAGCATTATTGTTCCATTGTTATTATTATAGCTGTAATATGAGAGGATACCCTACAGAACCCAGATGAATTTCATTTTACCAAGATATTGTTCTATATTTTCAGTAAGTACCAGTATATAGTTGAAACATAGTATTTATTTTTTTTTTTTTTTTTCTGATAACAATACAGAAAATGTTTGGTATATTTTTTTGAAAATAGTAGAAGTCATATTTCATGCCTGTCAAATTGTTATTTTTACAATTTAACTTCTATTTAATTTCTCAACTTCCTGTTCTGCCCAAGGTTGCCTATGCAGAGTTAATAGTTCTAAATATTTCCATATATTTGGAAATTTTGTCTAGCTATAACTAAGAAAGCTTTTTCACTTCTGCTAAGGAAATAGAAGTTTTCTTTAAAACTTACATAAAATCATATTGATAGGAAATACAGAATGTTTAAGGTTAATCTCTAATTTTCATTCTTTAAAATATAATATAGACTGAAAGGCTGTAAATGTTTGTCTCACCACCTTCCTTAATAGGCTTAGTTTCCAGACAAAAATTACTTTAAGATTAACCTGTTATTGTTCTTTTTAATAAACCATGCCTTTCTGTGTTCACATAAAGCTACGTTTTCTATATTTCCTTACACTATCATAGGTCATTTTAAAAGATTAGGCAAATGTAAGAAGAACGACAAATTATCTCTGTGCCAAAATATTACTAAAATCGGATAGATCATCCAAGGTAATTGCTAGATACTTAGCCAAACATAGATTTCCCCAAGCAGTCACGGTAATTATGCAAATAATAATAGGCAGACAAAAAAAAGCTTATTAAGTTGTGTACAGATCTTGACCTTCCTTTTTTAGAAAGATTGAACTGAACAACAAGAGTATTACATCTAGTATAGCATCTGTGATGTAAATTAAAGTAACATTGGTACAGGAAAATTTGGCAAGACCTTCTTTCAGATCCACACAAATGTTCAAGATTTATATTCTTCATTTATTGTGCATGTGCACACACAAGAGGACATTATTTTTTAACAACAGGACAGCAAAGCAAAAGGTCAAAATTTTTAAAAACATCTGAAAAGGAAATTATGCTCAGCTTGTTTCATTAGGGAAATCAATGGTGCTGAATAACAACTTTGAATAGAGTATAATTAAACTCAATTATTACCTTTTTTATTATGCTCAAGAAGTAAAAATGAAATGGATGCAGTGGCCACAGTTTCTTACTCAGTTTGCTGAGAGACTGGGATCCATGAAAAAAAAAGCCTGATTTATCTTTAGTGCATATTATTCCAATTAACAGCTCATGCAGGGTGTTTTAAGAATATTATTATTTTTAAATCTGCTGAGCTAATATGATTACTCCTTCAAAATCCTGCAGAAAATAACAAATGACTGTACAGTTTTTCCATAGAGTCCCACAGAAACAGCACATACCATGAATTGAAATAGACATCTATTTAAAGAAAGGATACCGAGTAATAACTGAATTACTGAGTTTCTGAAATGACAACCTAACCCACAAATTAAATATGCTTTCAAAATTCTTCCCAGGATCAAGGTAAAGGAAGAGCAAACCAATTTTTAAACCTGTCTCAAGTACCATGATGTTCTGTCATCTCTAGGGTATTTTGTTTAATTCTATTAGATTTTCATACTTGAGTTCAAAGAGAAACCTTGGATACTTTGCTATCAAACAATTTCTATGCAAATATATAAGCTCCCTTTATATCATGCTTCTAGTTGACAAGGTCCTTTTCTTGAAAATAGTGTAGTCATAAGGGTGGAAAATTCTAGAGGCTTGTGTTTTAAATACCAATGTATTAGAAGTAGTAAACCTAATAATCTAAAATATCATTTCATTATAATCGTGTTGAACTGGCCTGAAAAAAATCAGACAAAGGGCAGTATATCCAAAAGTAACATATTCAAGAACAGATCAGGTATGCAGTGTCACATTTCACCCTGTGTTCAAGAACAAACACAGAGCACTGCAAAACATGATTCTGGCCAAATCATGTAATAAGACTGTGCTGAGTCTGGGACAAAAGGGAGAACACAAAAGCCTTTCCCTGATTCAGAAAGCTAACACCTAAGTACCATTGGATTTTAAGATGACTGTCTATCTGACAGTCTATAAGCACAATGCTATAAGCACTTGAGAGTCTTAGGCTTGCTGATTCATGGCTCCGTGATACAGTATTCAAACTAGTTCATTTCTATTCATGCAAATAAGTCTGTTATTCTGGGATCTTTCTCAACATCATTTGAAGAGTAATGTGTTTCAGATATTCTGACTTGTTCTTTCACTGCTGTTTGGCAAAAACTTAATAGTCAAGTTTCTGGATATATGACCCCTGTTGATATTTTATATTGCAGGGTTTCAGAGAGCTGGTTATCTCACCTCTCCAAACGTCTCGCCAACTACATGCCTTATGTTGTTGTTCTGCGGTATGCATAAGGTAGTCCAAATCAACAACAGGGCAGGTCATCCTTAATATAACCTGAGAGGGCAGAGAGGTAGGGAAATCTACATGGCAACTTTTGGCTTTCTGCCTGTGTCAGTGCAGGACCTTCAAGTTATTGCCATGACACCGTTCTGTTTAGCAAGCTGGACACAAGCCAAAATGTTTGATGGACATTAATGATCAGATGCTGTGTGGCCGAACCTCTTATGAGAACGCGGCTTGGTGCCTTCC